ACAGAAATCCTAATTCATGGTTTGGTTGAGGCTCATGTTCTAAAGTCTCCAAGTAATCACTCTTAGTCGATCTGACTAGGAAGTTGATATAACACTTTAGGGAAATTTCTGTGGAATAACGTTTTTTTTGTTGTCGTTGTTGTTACAAAAAAGTAAGACATCAGCATTAGCACTGTATAGAATCTTGCTGTTTTCAAGCAATATTTTCCTCTTACTGTTGATATGTTTCCCCTGAAAAGGGGGTGCAAGGTAGGATTGGGATGAGACATGCCTGTTCTTAGAATGATGGTGAGAAGCAGAAAAGTAATGCTATGGTAATAAGAAGCCAGAATTAAGAGTAGATTCTTGGTGTGAAAAATGTGAAGGTAAGCCAGGCACGGTGGCTCATGGCTATAATCTTTCAGAAGCTGAGGCAGGCATACTGCTTGAGCCCAGGAATTCAAGACCAGCCTTGGGATCATAGTGAGACCCTGTACAAAAAAAATTTAAAAATTAGCCAGGCATGGTAGTGTATGCGTGTAGTCCCAGCTACTTGGGAGGCTGAGGCTAGAGGATGGCTCGAAGCCAGTAGTTCACGGCTGCAGTGAGCTATGAAGGTACCACTGCACTACAGCATGGGCAACAAAGTGAATCTCTGTTTCTAACAAAAGTAAAATGAAGGTAAAATATGGTATAAGGAAATAAAGAAAATAGCAACTCAGAATTAGTTAATTACTTATGTCTTAGCTTCTCAGAGACTTCATACTTTGCAGGAGTCTAAAGCAGATAGACTCCTTCCTTATCCTTTCTTGGAAGTCATTCTGGGCCAGATGCCTGTTTACAGAAGCATCACTGTGAATGTGGCAGAAATCATCATATTTCAGGATTATATGTCCTCTTTTCTATATGGTAGGCTCCTTACAAGTAATTCATTGCCTTCTGCATTTTTATCTTTCACCTAGCACATGGAAGGCTTTCAGTGAATATTAGCTGTATGAATGAGGACATAACGTATTTTAGCAAAATTACTTCGACACAGTTTTTCCTAGACATGTGAATATTTTATGACAGACTTCTTTATCTTGCAAGAGTTAGTATTCGGGAACTTCGTGAACACATCTGTCCTTAGCTCTTCCAGTACTTTTTGAGGAGGTGTGGCAAGACATAATTGCACCAATAATCTTCAAGTATCATTTTTAAACTCTCATGGTCCTCTAACACTAAAAAATGAGGAAGATATATTAACACTTCTGAGTAAGATGTAGGTCACCAGTGATTGAAGTGAGTCAGACCAGGAACAAGCTGGCTGGCAGAGAAGGAGCTATGTAATTGTGGATGAATGGTTGTAAATCTCTTTTTCCTGATAGAAACGGAAGATTTCCTAGGTCCTTCAAAAATTAGACCTGTTATCATTTTAAGCTGTCTACTTTCTTATAAATCCCCTATGTGCTATTTTAAACTCATTTCCATCTGTTTTCTCTGCCCAGTGCCCTGACAGTAATAATGAGGCTGATGTCCACTGAGGGCACCATGTGCCTAGCACTGTTGTAAAAGTACAAATGTTAACTCAGTTAACCCTTGCAACAACCTTGTAAGAGAGAAGTGTATGTGTTCTCACTTCACATATGAGGAAACTGAGGCACAGAGAGGCTATGTAACTTATCCAGGATGGAACCAGGATTCAAGCCCACGCAGTGTATACTCTAGTGTACTAGAAAATGTAGCTCCTGATCTAATGGTGGTAGACTAATGTATCAGGGGCCCACATTGCTAATACTGATAGAGATTCACCAGTCAAAACTATAATCTTAATTAATAAAGCTAATAATTATAAACTAAATTCATGTAAAATTAGAAAAGCACTTCCTATTTTAAACCACTAGCTAAGTTTTCTGCATTCATTTTGGATAGCAAGTCTTTTATTCTGAAAATTTTGAGGAACGTTGGATTTTATTGTAAACATAATAAGTGACATTAATTTTCCAGTATCCCACAATATTTCCTATTTATATAACTAAATTTCATACAAGGGATTTTTTCCAACAGGTTTTTGATAAAATATTAAATATGTTACTGAAATTGTTTTATTTCAGTGTTTCATTCAAATATATATTGTAGGGGAATATTTGCATTGATTATGGCTAGTTAGGAGAACCTAACCATAATTTTTCTTGAGAAAAGGTCTTGCTCTATTGCCCAGGCTGGAGTGCAGTGGTACAGTCATGGCTCACTGCAGCCTCAAACTCCTGGGCTCAAGCGATCCTCCCACCTCAGCCTTCTAAGAAGCTGGCACTATAGGCAAGTACAACCAATCTCACCACATTGCCCAGGCTGGTCTCAAACTCTTGGGCTCAGGTGATATCCCTGCCTCTGCCTCCCACAGGGCTGGGATTACAGGCATGAGCTACTGCACCTGGCCAGCTGGGAGGACTTTTCTTTGCTCTTGCAAGTGTTTTAAAATGCTAAAGTATGACTTTTGTGGACAAGTGGGAAATGAGTTTACCTTTTAGCATTACTTCTAAGCACCAAGACTTGAAATTTTGCTTCTCCAGTGGGAGGATCTTATTCAAGGAGGACTATGAGGGAGTTGTCCCTTTCCAGCGCCAATCTTGGAGAGCTCATTACTGCTTACTTACTGAACTAAGTGCTCTCCATCTCAAACATAATTTTTTTAGTTTCATATTTTTATGTATTGTCTTCATAAATCATAGTTGAGTGTTTTATGCTTTTTAGAAAGTTCGAATTTGCAATTCATTAATCTGTTTTTATTTTAAAATATGCAAAATGAGCTATAAGTATATTGTTAAATTTCTAGATACAAGCACTAACGGTTACAATGAAGAGAAAATCAAGGCATTATCTAAAGGACAAAAGAGTTTCAAGGTCATTGCTTTATGTCTCTTTTACTTGATAAGTTTTTTACTATTCTATTTTGCCTGAGGGAAACATTCCAGGAAATATACTTCACATGCCTTAGAAGATCAGTACTGCTATTGGAGAGTAACGGGAAACATAGTGAGAATGAGAAAAAGAAACATATAGGTTGCAATAATCCAGAAAAAAGCTTTCAAGAAGAAAACTTTTTTTGTTAGTCAACTAAAAAGTATAGCTCAAATAGTAGCATTTTCTTCAAGCAACAAATAAAGACATGATAAAAACCTAAGTATTAGGGCATTGCTAAAAATGTGAAAGTCTGTAGTCAGTCTTTTTCAAGTCTCCCTTTGTTTATGGCCATGAAATAATAATATTACATGTCTTCATTTATATTTGACAGAGAGTTTTGTTTTTCTCATGAACATATAATAAATTATATAACAAGGAATAATTGTTTAGTTTACACATATTTTACTCAGAATGTAGTGTTCATTCATTATGCGGTTGATACATTAATTCCGTATAAGGAATTAACCCAATGTGAGAAAATCAAACTTCTAAATTTTTAAATGATAGCTATATAAAATGGACAATTTTTGAAGTGTGCCTTATTATATATATTTCAAATAATATGAATAAAATGGATAGCCATGCAAAAAGTACTAGTAGTATTTTTGTGAAATTAAATATAATAATTAAACAAATAATGCCATCTTATTGGCTTGAATGACATCAGCTAGTTAGCTTCAAATAGTTTCATATTTCACTGGGTTTTCGTGCATCTTCATTTATTAAATAAATATATTTTTCAAAGGACAATTGCTTATTTTTCTTCTTTTTAATTTTTGAAAAAGATTTTCTGGGTAATATTCATTACTTCATGTGATTTTAACAAATATATCAAATATTATTTTATATTACTGATAAAATAACTTGTTTTTTTGATGAACTGAACATATGTGACATTTACAGTGAAATTTTAAGACCCTGTCAGAGAACTGATAGAGTGTGGCAGCATTGGAATTCTGACAAGCTTTAGCAGGAAGAACCAAAACAGGTGTTAAGGCCATGTTTTCTCAACAAAGCATCCAAAAAAACAAAACCTCTGTGCTTTTATCGGTCAGGGCTCTCCAGAGAAATGGAACCAATAGGATGTGTGTGTGCACATCTGTGTGTGTGTGTGTGTGTGTATCTCTGTGTGCATGTAGAGTTATTTAAGGAATTGGCTTACTGGATCGTAGGGACTGACAAGTCCTAGGTAAGAGTTCATATTGCAGCTGGAGTCCAAAGGTAGTCTGGAGGCAAAATTCCTTCTTCCCTAGAGAACCTCAGTTTTCTTGCTTTCTCTTACAGCCTTCAACTGATTGGCTGAGGCCCACCTACATTATGGGGTTTAACCTGCCTTACTCAATGTCTACTGATTTAATATTGATTACATCTAACAGTACCTGCACAGCAACATCTAGACCAGTGTTTGACCAAAAACCGTCTACCATGGCCCAGCCAAATTGACACATTGCAGTGCCCATTAGCAGTACCATTGGCCGAGGGTTGAGAAAAATATTACATGTCAGCTTATTTAAAATACATTTACTACATGTCTAAAGCAGTATTTAATAAGTGATATGTGTGTGTTTGTGTATCTTTACAAACAGACAATCTTTAGTAAAGTAGGTACATGTGTAAGAATGAAGAGAAGCCAAAGCTACTGGGAATGAATAAGGTTTTTAAATTGAGTGACACGGATATTTAATATAAGAATGACTTTAAAATAAAGAATTTATGTAGTGAAACACAACTTCTTCCTTGATTGTTTTAATCAAACAGAATGAGAAGAAATGAGCTGCTCTAAAGATAAGAGCTATTGGGATTAGATTAATAAAAGCATTTCTAGATGATGAAGTTTGAGAAAATGTTAGTAAAATCTAACAATGGATATTACATATATCAATTCACGATGCCAACAGAGAATATATTATTGTCAGTTTTTTCCTTCAATGAATGGATTAGAAATGCAATGTGTGTCTGTGTGTGTGTGTCTATGTGTGTGTGTGGTGTGGTGTGGTATATCGATGCATACATTTTCAATGTGCTAAGTGTATGGCATATTTATATTTAGAATTGTTTTTTAATATCTTCTTTCCTAGAATCTGAGGTGGTTTATTTTGATGGACAAAGTGCTCTGCTGTACAGACTTGATAAAAATTCTTTACAATCAATAAGGGACATTATTTCTTTGAAATTTAAAGCCATGCAGAGCAATGGAATTCTACTTCACAGAGAAGGACAACATGGAAATCACATTACTCTGGAATTAATTAAAGGAAAGCTTGTCTTTTTTCTTAATTCAGGTAAAAAATGTTTGAACTTTTAAACCAGTGCTTTAAAAAACTCTGTTTACATGAAACTACATTTGTTGGTACTCAGTCTTTTCACAGTTACATAAAATCACCATATAATTTATCATCTAAACAAGAACACCTTTAAGAAATAAAAAATACACAAGTGATAGTTACTCTGGGACAGTAAGTGCAAAGTAGAACTCCAATGAACAAATTTAAATGAAAGTTTAAGAGCATTACTAATAGATGCATGCAATACGTACATATCCTAAGTATGATTCCTGTAAACAGCATATGTATTGACAAACTGTGCAAGAAGATCACCATATCTGTGTTTAGTGTGTGTGTGTATATATATATACATACATAATATATGTGATTATACATACAATCACAAAAGCAGGAATAGATTATTATAAAATTAAGAGTGCTGATAATGAGGTTCTAAGAAAGAAAATATTGGCAATTTAAATACAAATGTCATGAATAATAGAAAAAATAAGTTACTAAGAAAGAAATTTCAACACAATGTAGAGTTGAACTTTAAAAAGAAGTAAAAACAGTAAGGATATTGTGTTCAAGATGGGGAGAAGGTGAGAAAACAACTCTGTAAGATGGAAAGTTGGATGCAAACTGTCATGCTCAACGAAAAAAGGGAAGCCATGGTTTTAAACAGAAGTAACTGAGTGTTTTTTTCCCTCTCCTTTAAGACAATGATAAGCTGTCTTCCACTACTGCTCCTGTGACCCTCACCCTGGGCAGCCTGCTGGACGACCAGCACTGGCATTCCGTCCTCATCGAGCTCCTTGACACACAGGTCAACTTCACCGTGGACCAACACACTCATCATTTCCAAGCAAAGGGAGAATCCACTTACTTGGATCTTAATTTTGAGGTTATTATAGATATATAGTTTAAGTTAAATATAACCTGAAAAATTAGCTGCATAGAGAAATGCCATTTTATAGTAATTCAGAACTATGTTGACAAATACATAGTAATAGATATGTCTGTCTTGTTACTTTGAAACTGTTTATGCCTTCTAATAGTTCAATTTATTATTATTATTATTTTTATTATTTTTAGAGGTGAAGTCTCACTCTTGTCACCCAGGCTGGAGTGCAATGGCGCAATCTCAGCTCACTGCAACCTCCGCCTCCCAGGTTCAAGTGATTCTCCTGCCTCAGCCTCCTGAGTAGCTGGGATTACAGGTGCCTGCCACCATGCCCAGCTAATTTTTTTATTTTTAGTAGAGATGGGGTTTCACCATGTTGGCCAGGCTGGTCTCAAATTCCTGACCTCAAGCCGTCTGCCCTTGGACTCCCAAAGCGCTGGGATTACAGGTGTAAGCCACCACGCCCAGCCATCAGTTTATTTTTATACATCATCTTTTCCGTCTTGAAAGGAAGTAAATAGTCAGTGTTAGGCTGGGGAGATCTACGAATGAAGAAATATCAAGGCAGCAAGCAATGATATTGAATATATTTGAAATTTCATCTGGTATATTACACTTGCTGTTTGACTATGCAGATTCCTGCGAAATTTTTTTTTTCTTGTCTTGGTGCAATCCTAACCAATATAGCATTACCTAGGATAACTTTGAGAAGTTAGCAAGATGTATACTGATAGATTTATTACATAATAAGAAAGTCAGATATATATAAACAATTTCCTAATATTTTTAAGGGATTAATGCTTTTTTGCAACATTGCCCATATGTATCTAAGCTACACTGTTAAATATCATCTATTCTTCCAGTTCTTCACAGGACACCTTAAAGTGTATGAAGGATCAGAAAAAACCAAAAATGTTGTGATATTTACTGGCATAAGTAGCTTTGGCATATAATATTATACTGAAGATCCTAGTTCTACACCAGATTATTCATAGTTTTATTACTTTAACCATGCAATAGCAAAAGATAATATCTAATGCAGAGGTTGGCAAACTATGGGCATCAGGCCAAGTTTGGCCGTTTTTTAATAAAAAAAAAAATAAAAGCCTGTTTTTGTTCAAAAAAGTAAGTTTTATTGGAACATTTTCTCTTTTCTTATGTATTGTCTGTTGTCGTATTGGTACTACAGTGTCAGAGTGGAGTATTGTAAAAGAGATCATGTGACCCACAAAGCCAAAAATATACTACATGGCTGTAACATTTTCGACGTGGTAGAAAACGTGTGTTGACTCCTTCCTTTAAGTTTGTTCAAAACTGTCTGGTGTCAGAAATAAAGGTATTAAGAGCTCCCATTATGATAGAACAGTTCATTTGGAATTAGCAAGTATGATAGAACACTTCATTTGGAAATCTAAGATAATAGGAATGGATTTGTGACAATTAGTGCTATGCCTATTAATTATAAATGCTTTAAACATGAATCAGAAAATCACTAAACAATGTTATTTATGTCATTTTTCTTTCTAAGATCAGCTTTGGGGGAATTCCGACACCTGGAAGAGCACGGGAATTCACACATAAAAACTTTCATGGGTGTTTAGAAAATCTTTATTATAATGGAGTGGACGTTATTGAATTAGCCAAGAAACACAAACCACGGATCCTCATGATGGTAAGGAAGCCTAGTGGGAAGGAAAGAAAAAAGGACATTTTATTTTTTGCATTTAAAAATTATTCACGTGAAGTCTCCATTTCATATAATATTTTAAGAATCAACTCTTACTTTAACAGCTGCCCATATAATATAGTAATTTTTTTTTTTTTTTGAGATGCAGCCTTGCCCTGTCACCCAAGCTGGAGTGCAGTGGTGCAATCTTGGGTTACTGCAACCTCTGCCTCCCGGGTTCAAGTGATTCTTCTGCTTCAGCCTCCCTAGTAGCTGGGACTACAGTTGTGTGCCACCACACCTGGCTAATTTTTTTCGTTTGCTTTTGTATTTTTAGTAGAGATGGGGTTTCACCACATTGGCCAGGTTGGTCTCGAACTCCTGACCTCAGACGATATGCTCACCTCAGCCTCCCAAAGTGCTGGGATTACAGACATGAGCCACCATACCCAGAATAATATAGTAGTTTTTATTATGCATAAAAAGGTATAAAGTAAATATGCCTCATGGAACACAGTTGTTTCATTTTTTATATGAAATAAAATAACTTCTATTTTTACATGGAAATCAGAATTCATATGTTGCATGTGTTTTTGGTATTATTATTCTCAGGAGACCAATTATTTTGCATTGGCAATGTCTAATGACGTATCATTCCCTAATCAACTGGAAATATTTCCAAATCAGTTAATAAACTTCTTTCAATGTTTAAAATTTGAAATATCTAAGTTGGGAATTTAAGGGAAAACTCATATTTAGTTGTCAGTGTATCTTAGAAGTGCATTGTGGGAATATTTATTCGTATTGTTGTAAAATATTTTTTCCTGTTATGTGCTGGAGGAGTTGGCTCATGGGTTGCAGGACCAAAACCTGAAAACATCTCTGACTCTGTGTCACCAGGCCACACAATGAATACATCACTTAGGTTAGCATGAAAAAAAGGGAAAAACAGTTACGAAGCTCATGAACTTTCCAAGAAGGTAAAGGGAAAAAAAAAAGAAGATAGGTTTGAAGTCTAAGTTCTACTATGAACAGTACCATGCTGAGATCATAAAAATAAAAAATACCATCAAGATACATGAAAAAGGAAAACACCAAAGGGAAGAGTGATAGCAAGGCTCCACAGAGTGCAGCTTCCTTTGATAAGATTAAAAAGAAATGAAAAGAGGAAGGAGATAAATGGAATAGCCCTCTACCTAAAGTTTATATCCATGGAGAAACTGACATAATAAGTGCTGCTCAACAGGAAAAAGAAAAAGACCTGGTTATTGAAGTTGGCTTTGTTGAAGATGCTTTACTCAGATACAAATGCAAAGACGTATTTGGCCAATGGGCATCAGTGTCAAGAAGCCTTACGTAACACATTCTGAACATTAAGCTACCTTTTATCTGCCAGTCCTTGGTGTTCAGAAGAAACCCTCCTCCCCACCCTAACTTTTATGGGGCTATTTCCAAAGATACTGTCATTGAGGTGAATAAGAGTGGGTTGGGCCTTACGACACAAAGAGACAAGACTTTTTGAGGAAAATAGACACAGGTTTTCATACACATTTCATGTTATTCTGAATTATTGATGGAATTATTAATTGAATATAGTCAGTAAGGAGAACCACAATTACACTGGTATCTCTGGGTTCTGGGTATCATCCTCAAGAAAACTATTTACTAATTACATTGAATGAGGTTATTAAAATGTGTAAGTTTCACACGAATACAAACAAAAAGACAGTTTATTCCAAATTGTGCATATGGATATATAATGTTAATTATGGGAATTCAATTTTGAGAATAACTACGATTTTATGTGTTCTGTATAAAAATAGGAAAATAGTAGTTCCAATATATAAAAGGAAAACATTAAAAATATGTTTTGTTGGCAAAATCAGTTGCCAGAATTCATTCAGTTAACTAACAAGCACTCCTTTGTGGCAAGAAGCCCTGCTTCTCTATTCTAGCAGGCAGCTGCCCATCTAAATGACAAGGTCAAGAAATATGAAGCTGATGAAAAGATTAAAAACATGTAATAGTCCAGTGATTAAATGTGAACTATGGATCAGCGCCAATTACTTGTAAGCTTTTGGTATTTAATTTGTTATGGCAAATGTTTTCTTTTTTAAATTTTCTTCCACAAATGTTTTCTTGTAATGAAAACTATTTCCCATTCAGCAGAGTTACAAAAATAGTAAGAAATGTTCTGATTGATATATACAGTTATAATGTGTATTAAAGATTCTTATAAAATGATAACTGAATTATATCCATTTCTAAAGTATGTTGTGACAGAATTTTATTTATTTATTTATTTTTAAGAGACGGGGTCTCGCTATGTTGCCCAGACTGGAGTGCAGTGGCTATTCACAGGCGCGATCCCACTACTGATCAGCACGGGAGTTTTGACGTGCTCCATTTCCGATGTGGGCTGGTTCACCCCTCCTTAGGCAACCTGGTGGTCCCCCGCTCCCGGGAGGTCACCATATTGATGCCAAATTTACTGCAGACACCCTATCGGCATAGCGCACTACAGCCCAGAACTCCTGGGCTCAAGTGATCCTCCCACCTCAGCCTCCGGAGTAGCTGGGACTACAGGCATGCCCACCGCACCCGGCAATTTTTTAAAAAATATGATTCAGTCTTGAAAGTTGTTTTACCCCTGGATCAGTGTGGCTCTTAAAGTTGGCTTTATCTTGAAGTCACCAGAGGAGATTAAAAAGATATCCTTACCTGGATCCACTCCCAGAGACTGGGATTTTAATTGGTCTGCATCTGGATTTTAAGAGCCTTTCTGGTGACTCAACTGTTGAGCCAGGTTTGAGAGCCACTTCCCCAGATTGTCTTGCTCTAGTAACATTCTTTTTCTAAAATAATATATAGCATATTAGTAGAAATAAATCCATGGAAATCTAAGTAAAATCAGAATTGCTGGGGGTTTTCTCTGGAACTGAAATTACTATGTGTGAATAATGCCCAAGAATTTCTTATTCCTTCCACCACCAAACAAAACAAAACAAAAAACATTTAAAAACACAGTAAGATGGTACTTGACTTAGCAGATATTAAAACATACTAAAAGCTGCTATACTAGAATCATTATGGTAGTGGACAGGAATCAAGAAATCAGTAGAACAAAGGAGAGATCCCAGAAAGATCCCAGTTTATGTGCAAAGTTATTATTAGTAACAAGGAATATGGCTCAATTCAATGGAACAGGGATGAATTATTTCAGAAATTTTGCCGGAACAAACAAGTGTCTATAAGGCAGAAAATAAGCATGATCACTGTCTTATACACAATAATAATATGTAAATTAAGGAGGATGAGAAACAAACAGCAATAACTTTAGAAGAAAATCTATGAGATTGTACGTAGGACCTAGGGTAGTATGAAATTTCCCTAACAAAGATTAGACACTCAGAAGCTGTAAAATACAATATAGACATAATTGACTATATAAGAATCAATGTTTTCATGCTAAAGATGCTGTATGCAAACACTGTATATAACTATTAGATCTGAAAAACATTTGGAAGGCTGTCAAATATAATTTTCCAGTAGCTAAAAATATGACCCATACAGATATTAAATAAGCATGTGTCAAAGATTTAGTCAATTCATTCATTAATGAGGAAACCACTAAAATAGTAAGCTGGCTCAAAGGAGATTTGGAGGATTGTGTAGGGAAGAACCAATGTTGCTCAGGAGAACGACTGAGAGTATGAAAATGTCCTGTTATTTGCTGTATCCTCAGGCCTAGCACAGGGCCTGGAAAATAGCTGGCATAGATTAAACTCCTGTTAACTAAAATTATATTGAGACTCCTTTACTAATGCTGAGAAGTAAAGAAATGGAGAATTCTCTCTGTCTTTCTCTGTCTCTCTCTCTCTCTCTCACACACACACACACACACACACACACACAAAACACAGAAAGCCACATGGATGTCTGCCCAATTATACTACTACTTATGTTGAAAGAGAAGATACATTGCATAGATTTCAGCTTTAGCAGGCAAACTAATTTATAAAATCCTGATTGATAAAATGCCTTGTAAGTCTTTGTACAATCTGTCTTTAATTAGATAGAAGCACCACCCTTAAGGCTGCTCAACGTGCTTTTTTGTTTTATTTATAGGGAAATGTGTCCTTCTCATGTCCACAGCCACAGACTGTCCCTGTGACTTTTCTGAGCTCCAGGAGTTATCTGGCTCTGCCTGGCAACTCTGGGGAGGACAAAGTGTCTATCGCTTTTCAATTTCGAACATGGAACAGAGCAGGACATTTGCTTTTCGGCAAACTTCGCCGTGATTCAGGGAGTTTCGTCCTCTTTCTTAAGGATGGCAAGCTCAAACTGAGTCTCTTCCAGCTGGGACAGTCACCAAGGAATGTCACAGCAGGTAACATGTTTTCCCACAAACCTGACAGATACCCACATGGTGATCATTTGGTGATTAGTTGAGTGAGGCAGTGAGACGCTCGATGCCCCCAGTAGAGGAACGAATAACTGTTTCCTTCTAGACTGTTCCTGTATGTCACACATAGCTGTCACTAAAGTGTTCTTTTGACCAAAATGACTATATATGAGAAATAAGAAATACATATTTCTGCAGATATACATCCCCCATATACAAGGAAACTATGTAATACCTTTAAGCTCTATTTGTTGACAAACATACCAGCCTCCATCCCAAAGAACTAGGGTTAAGACTTCATAGAACAGGCAACACCCAGAGGCATGTTCCTCTCCTGTCCTCACTTCTTTCCCTTCTCCGCCCCGCCTCTCCTCTTAGGAACTGAGCAGAATTACTCTATACACAGAAGGCAATTGGTAACTATCACCTTATAGTGAAGGATGCCAGCAAATACCAAGAGTTATTCTTTTGTCGATGACTGATTAGTTTTCTGGGATAGCCTGGCACCTGGGAAGAATCTCAGCTCCTCCACCTTCTGCCCTTCTGAAATGCAAATCACCAAGCTCCTAAGCCTAGCTGTTTTCACTTGTGAAATGGTAAACCTCAGATCTCCTTTGCAGAGAGAACAATAGGAAGTCTGATTTTATTAGCACAGTGCCCACCCCACACACAGGCCCTCTCATCCCCACTCCTCAACAGAGCCTGTTTTTATTAGGCAAATGCTTTGACATCCCTGCTAGCTTAGGGGCTCACATCCATGAGGCCAGACTGAGTAACAATAGATGGGAACTAATCTCAGGTGCAGTGAGATGTGGACAACTTTGTTAACTACAGAGCTGCTGGATTTTGATGATTGGAATTGCACATGGGAGGAGTGCTGGGTCCTAATATCTTGCATAAATTGGCATCAGAACCAAACCGGGCCTTAAAAAAAAAAAAAGAGTAGTGTAATCTAAGAAAGAAGAAGGCACAGAGGAAGAGACTGACTTCTGCCTGAAACCAGGGGATTATCATACTCAAAAAGAGATTCCTTTTGGCGGGTAGGATCTGTGTCCACATCACACAGGTGTTTTATGGGAGATAAAACAGATATTCAGAGGGGATATATATGTTTTATCTTTTAGAAATGCAAACCTATTTTCCATTTACTCACAAGATTTTTTCCGAAAGAGGTTAAAATTATGACCCCCACACAGACACAAAATGAACATATGTCAGAGATTTTCTTTAACTCATCAATTAATGAGAGAACCAGGGTTAGGGAAATAAAGATAAAATTACCTACCAACATAGTGAATCAGTTTCACAAGGTAGAAAAGAAACAGTCTTCTTATGAAGTATTAAACCAGACTGTGATGCATATTTCAGGCAATCGCTAATTGCAAAGACAAATCTCATCCATTTATGTAGCCAGGCAGATATGCCCCATTACATACGTGTTCTAAAGAAAAAGGACAACTTGTACTCAAGTAAGAGGACTTGACAGTGCTATTTACTACACATAGCCCATCTTAAATTCACCTGGTAGTCGGGGAGGCACAATCCCTATGCAAAGGAAAACCAAAGTCCTTCATGTCTGTTTGACAAGAGGGTAGTTCCAAATTGGAGCCAGGCACCTAAGTTAGACTACCACAGAGACAGAGAGATAAGAGCCCTACCTTTCTTGATGTCTACATTTAAAGAAATATCTCCGAGGTCCTCAAGAAAAACACTCCTGGAAACAAGAAAGAGGCTAAATAAGTTTTGTTTTGTTTTTTAAGATTTTAAAGATTTACAAGTTTTCTAAAAGAAATGCCCTAAGAAAAACAGTGAGTGAAAGTGTATATCCCTTTTGGCACTAAGAAAGTTTTTGTTTGTTTTGGTTTGTGTTTACACTTACACCAGTAAGGTCAGTTTAAAGAAGTACCATACATTTATAGTCAGAAAAGAGATGTTGAGATGAAATTGCAAACAGATGCAAACCTAGCAAAACTTGTCAGTATTCACAGGAAAAGGCAAAACCCTTCCCTGTACACACTTTGCATCTCTATGGACAAGCATTATTTGCATTATTATCCATGTTCTGCAAGTTAACTTCTGTCACTACGCAGCTGGAAAGTAATCTAGTCAAAGATTATGGTTTACAATCCAGCAACATCAGCTAATCTTTCCATTGAAAAGATATCCAGTAATCTCTTTTGCCCATTTCAAAAACCGCCTTTAATTTTTTTCCTACAGCAGTTGGTTCAGCTTTACTGCTGATGAGTTGCATATATTCCGGATTCAATGAAGTGCTGAGCAAGCACTTTCTCCAGTTCTGGGTTGCACAATAACTAGAATTAAATATAATTAAAGTTCTTAAATCTCATCAGGATTTTGCTTTAGCTCATGGCTTTGTGAGTGTGATATTTTGCCTCTGCATTTAAAATGTTGTAGTTGTTAACAAGAGATCATCTTCATACTCAAATGTATTTAAAATAACATCTATGTTGTGGGCAAGTAATTTAATAACTTCTCATTAAAATATTTCTAGATTCTACTGTATCTGATTTTCTTGGGCATCAACTATGGCCAAAGGCCAAATACAACCTAATAGAAAATAAAAAGAAAACAAATTTGGATGATAGACGTGAAAACAGTTATACAAAGATCTGCTTTTATTTGTCAAAAGATATTCTTAAAGAGGGCACTTTTTGCAATTATAAAAAGAACATGTCAAAGATTTTGTTTAACTCATTAGTTTATGAAGGAATCAGTAAGATGTTACAATAGGTTCAAAGAATCAAAAATATATATAAGCAGTAAAGCTGCAATGATTTTGCATATAATGTAAAATTAGCTGATTCCATGGGATGGGGTAGAGGAACCAGGAAGGTCAATCATATTTCTACCAGCCAAAATTCATTTGCATATCTATGGACAGTAATAATTTGCCTGCTTTCAATTTTCTACAATTCACAGGGTGGTACAAGAATTCAAAGAAGGTAGAAGGCATATTGACCTGCAGAATCATATAATCCTTGAGATTGTGTGTAGACAATGCCTAGTTTTACATTGAAGACATCCAGAATCTTGGTTGATTTTAAAGTATAATTTATTTCCTTACACATTGTTATTAATTCTGTTTCTGTTTCATATATCACTGAAGGTTAAAAGGGAAAGCTAAAATATTAGTGTTAATTTATAATTTTTAAGAAGTACTACATTTGAAATGCTAATAATATACTAAATGCATGTTAGGAAGAAAAATAAATCAAGCACAGAGTCATTTTAATAATTTACAGGTTTCTTAAGACTATCAACTAAAATGTTAACTTTATAGAAAAATTTCTAGTAATCTAAAGTTTATTATGATATATGTAACTTCTGAAACAGTTTTGATCTTGGTCTAATTTTAAACTTCAATGCAATGTTAATTTAATAGGCCCCATGAAGCTAATCTTATTTTTAGACCATTTATTGGCATGTATCTTTGACATATTACCAGTTAAAACACAGAATACCTCTAGTGATTTTAAATGCCTTAACATTTAAATTTACCATCAAAGGCAATTCATTATATTATCAAATTATTTCACAAGATTAATTTCATAATTACTTCTAAGAATCATAAAATAATGTGGATGTGAATGTAAATATATAAAAATAGTGTACATATATATAAATACACCTCCAGTGTATTTATACATACAACTCCAGTTCTTTTCTAAGCATTTTATCAAATATTAAATGACATTTTATTTTATTTTTTGAGACAGAGTGTCACTCTGTCGCCCAGGCTGGAATGCAGTGGCATGATCTCAGCTCACTGCAACCTCTGCCTCCCAGATTCAAATGATTATTATGCCACAGCCTCCCATGTAGCTGGGACTATAAGCGTATGCCACCACCCCCAGCTAATTTTTTGTATTTTTAGTAGAGATGGGGTTTTACCATGTTAGCCAGGCTGGTCTCAACTCCTGATCTCAGGTGATCCGCCCACCTCGGCCCCTAAAGTGCTGGGATTAGGTATGAGTCACTGTGCCAAGCCAATAATAACCTTTAAAAGACAGTATAATTATATCTATAATAATAATATGTCAATTTGGAAACACATGTATATATGTTAAAGATTTTAACTAATTAATGAAGAAACCAGTAAGATGTTACAAGCAGTTCAGAGGAGAATTCAAAGTACTACACATGCAGGCTTATAGGAAATACCAAAATGAATTACAGACAGATAGGAAATTGTTCAGTAACCAACTGTACCCCACCAGGCATGAGGAATTTGCATTTCTATGGATACAACTCATTTTGCATTACTATCAGTTTCCTACAATTTACAGGACTGTAAAATAGCTCAGACAGTGAAAGCAGGGTTTACCTTAATTAATGGGCGCTGTACGCCAGACATCTAGTGATCTTCCCCTCATTTCGAATCCTGTTGCACCCCCTATGTACAATTATTATGTGTCAACTTTTTCTTAGAAAAGCCTTTCACAGTCATTCTTGGCATCATTTTTATCAACTCACTTTCTTGATTCTTGTAAAATATTTTTGTTAGATTCAGTGAAGCAAGTCAGTTTTGCATTTGAAGATTGAAGCAAACTGTTGTTTTCATCCCATTGTACAGGCTTCTAACATATAAATTTGATAATTAAATTATAGTTACTTCAGGCACATTATCAGATTTTATTATAGTGATTCCTCAGAAAGAGTAATATTTTCATCCACGTGTTATTGTCATAACAAATGAAATTTTTAAATTAAAGATAGGTGGTTAATTTTTTTTCAGCGATACATCAACATGTAAATACTGCTCTTCTCTGACTTATTCAGTGATCTGAAGCAAATTGTTTTTAAGTGTTAACAGAACTCATAGACTTGTCTCTGACTGATTTTATTTCCTCCAGGTGCTGGATTAAACGATGGGCAGTGGCACTCTGTGTCCTTATCTGCTAAGTGGAGCCATGTGAGTGTGGTGGTAGATGATGACACAGCTGTTCAACCCCTGGTGGCTGTGCTTATTGATTCAGGTGACACCTATTATTTTGGAGGTAAGAGAAGGCAACTGAATTACATTGGCAGTGGAACCACGCTTATGTTTATTGCTTTGCATCTTGAGTCTCTAGTCAAATTTAAACCAAGTTAATACTAAGAAATAATTTATCTCTAGCCATGAAATTAATACCTTTGAATTTGTAAAAAATATAAACCACTTTAATCAATTTTTCTTCCCAATACAAAAATATCTGCAGAAAGTTTCCTTGCTGTTTAAATAACTTCATACTTTCATTTAACGTTAAAAGAAAATATATTTGAGCTATACATAGTAAATAAGAAATAAGTGGGAAACTTTCCAACATCAAATATCATAAACACATCTCTATAGCAGATAAATCCATTTATACTTCTGAGAGTTAGCTTGTAAAAACAAAACAAATCATATTGTCTAAAGTCATTGGCTTACATAAAATATTATATATTTAAGTCTACATCTAAATCTATACTATTGAATCATTATTAGTACACAGATCATCTTATAGATAGATCGATAAATATTTTTTACATGGAGGAGTAATAGGAAATATTCTGATTATGAAGTACTTTCAAAGCATTGACAGTAATAAACAAATATTGATTAATAGGAGAGAAGCATATTAAATGAATCCAGTGTAATTGGTGTTACACTGGTGCAAAGAACTGAATGTTTGCTTCCCCCCAAGATTCATATGTTGAAATCCTAACCCCCAAAGTGATCCTGTCAGGAGGCTTTGGAAGGTAATTAAGTCAGGAGTGTGGAGCCCTCATGAATGGAATTAGTGCCCTTATAAAAGGGCCCAAGAGAACTCCCTTGCCTTTTCTGCCATGTGAGGTTATAAGAAGACTGTGGTCTATGAATGAGACACTTCATCTGCTTTGCCTTGAACTTCGACATTCCAACATCCAGAACTGAGAAAAACAAACATTTGTTGTGTAAGCCACTCAGTTCATAGGATTCTGTTAATAGCAGCCCAAACTGACTGCAAAAACTCACACAGCTAAAGAAATGTAAACAAGTGGATCTTTTGATCTTTTGATTGTAAAGGAAGTTCGGATTTTTTTTTTTTTTTTTTTTTTTTTAAAGATGGAGTCTTGCTCTGTTGCCCAGGCTGGAGTACAGTGGTGTGATCTCAGCTTACTGCAACCTCTGCCTCCCAAGTTCAAGTGATTCTCCTGCCTCAGCCTCCCGGGTGGCTGAGACCAGGCACATGCCACCAGGACTGGCTAATTTTTTTGTATTTTTAGTAGAGATGGAGTTTCACCGTGTTAGCCAGGATAGGCTTGATCACCTGACAACATGTTCCACCTGCCTCAGCCTCCTAAAGTGCTGGGATTGCCAAGGATTTTTTTTTATGAAAAGACATGCTAGGAATAACAGCAAAACCCTGCTATGTATTCTAGAATGGTCCTGTGAGTCCCAGGTTTATATATCTGAAAGCCACAGTTAAGAGAAACAATTGTGAGAAAACATGTCATAGGGGGCACGGATACCTGTACATTAAAGCATTCTGGTATCATCCCGTATCACCACATATATGATAAGAAAACTCATTCTCAATAAGAAAGTTTTCAACTAGGTAAGAAATTCCATGCTGGACATAGATACAGAAAGCCACTTTTCACTGTACCTAAACACTGAGGTGTTACTGAGGTAACTTAATTACTTGTAATTCTTACTAGAAAGGTAAATATATTCAGCCTTTCTCAGTAATAAAAATTGTGTGTCAACAGAAATGTAGATCTAGTAATAGAAGACTTGTTATATACATGCAGTCCTATACATTCTGTTCTACCTCATCAGTATATGTGGTGTTTCACATGGAATATGTACTTTTCCAAATATACAGCCACAGACATTCAAAGACTTCGGTGAGCTGTCCTCTGGCACACAGTGTGTATTTAAATTGTTAAAGAAAATTAAAATGACCTGAGAAATCTTTGACCTTGTAAGTGGTGTTAACTTTGCTTGATTTGCCAATATAAGCAAAACTTAACTTGGGCTATGTCTTGTAAATGCCTTAAAAAAAAAAAAAGTCCAACTTAAGGCTGACTAATCAGAAGCCACCAATTAACTTATATAACTAGAGACTTTCCAGCAGGATCAACCAAGTAAGGCAATTGTATAACTACAGCTAATCAAAAATTTGCTACTATATTTACCTCACTGAAGATGTCCTTTTTGTTCCCTTGAAAGGGTCCCTGAACCAGTTCCCATTTGAAGCTGCCTCATTCATGAATCACTCTTAGCTCAAATAATCTTTTGTGCCTCCATCGACCTTTTATTAATGTACACATTTATATCTCTAGTTGGGTGCTTTTTTCCTCTAAGCAGACACAAAGTAAACCTGAAGAGCTTAAGATTTTTAAAATTTCAAGAAGCTAATGCCTTGATTTATCTTGAATGGATGATAACATAAGGAGCCCTCAGAAGAATGCAGCTGTGCATGCGAAATTTTACAGAAGAGCAAAGTTAGCTTAAGGAATAATCACCTAAGGCTCTTAGTGATCTAAGAAATTTAATGTGCTGAGGAAGATGCCAAATTAAGGGTTTCCAAGTATGAGTATCAAGATACCTCTTATACCTCCTCTCAGCCATATGTGGTATAGACAATTATCGCTAACAAAATTTTTCCAAACCAAGTAGAAAAAAACAGTAAACGTAACAGAGATTTTTTTTTTTTTTAAACTAGGATGGGACTAAACTCTGTCCCTCCTTTAGGATGAGGGCTAAAATCTGTATGACAAAAACAGATAACAGAGTTTGATCCACACTACTTCGTTTTCACAACTTCTAGCCAGATGGACTGGGTCCAGAAAGAAACTACTGAAATAAGCAATAGAAAACCCGAAACATTAGTCTTTGACAATGTATATTCATATACATTCCCATTTCCTTCAGAAAACACGTGATGCTTCTCTTTATTTAATTTACTTTAGGTTCAGTGGTACATGTGCATGTTTCTTACATAGGTAAATTGCAGGTAATAAGAGCTTGGTGTACAGATTATTTCATCATCCAGGTAATGAGTATGGTACCCAGTATGTAATTTGTGATCTTCACCCTCCTCCCACCCTCCACCCTCAAGTAGGTTGTGATGTCTACTGTGCCCTTCGTTGTGTCCATGTGTACTCCATTTTAAGCCCCCACTCATAGTGAGAATACATGGTATTTGGTTTTCTGTTCCTGTGTTAGTTCGCTTTGGATAATGGCCTCCAGCTCCATCTCTGTTCCTACAAAGGACATTATCTCATCCTTTTTCATGGCTACATAGTATTCCATGGTATATGTACCACATTTTCTTTATGCTGCCATTGATGGGTATTTAGGTTGATTCTTTGTCTTTGCTATCGTGAATGCACATAATGTATATGTGTCTTTATGGTAGAAGGATTATTATTCCTTTTGGTGTGTGCTCAATGGGGTTGCTGGTAGCTCTGTTTTTTTTTTTTTTTTTTTTAAGGTGATATACACAAAGACAGAATTTTCTTTCATGATTCACAGCAGCAGAAGCTTTCAAGAGACAAAGAATCTAGCAACTGAATGGATAATAGTGTGTTTGCTACTGGAAAGCAGAGGAAATAAGGGGCTGAAGAGGGGAGGCTTAGAATAAAGCAGAAAGGACTGAAATGCTATCTGCTTTAATATTCACTAAGAAAAATAAAAAATTTAGACTGTGGGTGGAGACCTTAGGACTACAGGGAAAGTTATTTTTCTTTCCACTTCACTTGTTGCATTATGTAGAGCAGAACAGCCTTCTGCTTAAATGGTTTGCCGTACATTCATCTATTTTGGGG